GGGCTTATAGACAGGTGGCTTAGATTCGACTGGGAGAGCTTATAATATGAGGTTTACAAGTTTATTATCAGGTCTGATAAAGGTCTGGGCTTACAGATTGATCAAACATTCTGCAAGCCCATCTTGCTTGATTGAACTAGAGCGCTTAACCAGCATTGCAGAGCCACAGGTTCAATTCTGGAAATTTTACACTTTACCATACCAGAGTAAATCACTGCTTACATACGCCATCAAAACGTGATAAAAGAACGAAAAAACTCGCCATCAGAACACACGCCATCAAATACTATAAAGTACCCAAATGTTTTGTTCATAATATATTTTTTAATTTTTTTTGTTTATAACTTTTACTATGCAGGGTACGAATTAACGTTGGGAAAGTGCATCGCGATTATTGTCATTGAAAAGTACACCCCCCCCCCAATTTGTCTATTTTCCCGGCTCCCTATGACATTGGAAATTCCAATATTTTTTATCTCAAATTTCTCAACAATGATCAATATTAAACCAAATAATGATTATTGGCGGCAATATTGACGTTTGTTCTGACAAAAACCTCAAAATGTTGAAAGTCATTCCCATGAACCTAATTTCTACAACGTTTCAAATTGTATACGTTGTAATATAAAAACATTTACAGCTAATATAATACAAGTTTACTAGAAGTTTAGATTTAGATTTTAGAGTCAGAAATCAATTTCATCGTCAGAGTCTAGATCACCGTTTTCTAAATCGGACATAGTCAGTTCCGTGATGTCAATCACATCTCCTTTCGACGAGACTATTTTGCGTTTCTTTGGATAGCTATGACTAGAACAATTCAGTCGTCGAATTTGGGCATTGAACTATGATTTGATCGCTGCGTCTGGGCAGAAATCATCCATCGAGTTACCAACGCATTCCTGGCTGATTCTGAGGTTCGCTTCCAGTCGATCTCTGCCAAGTCGATTACGCCAATCTGTCTTACTCTTCCCATTGAAAAGCGGATAAATAATATACTCTTCCCATTGAAAAGCGGATAAATAATATACTAGGTATCTTGACTGCATGGTTTAAATAAACAGTTCCTCGCACTCTATTCAATTTTATGACTTGTTAAAAATGCAGTTTCTGTCAAAATTATTGGAAAAAAGTGATGATTTGACAAACAATTATTACGTATCGCGATTTTTAAAGTTTTTGCACTTTTTTGTATCGCATATCTTCAAAAATGCATCGCGATTCGCGAATCGCGACATGTTAATTCGTACCCTGCTATGTGTACTTAATTAAATTACATTAAAAAACTCATTAATAATTCAGGAGCAAAACACAAAGAAAAATCATAAGCGTTAATTTACATAAACTTTATCACGTTAATTTACATAAGGGGCGGACCATTAGAAATCCCGGGAGGGGGGGTATAAAATTTTTGCAGCACGAATTTTTTTTTCAGTCTCGTGTCTCTGCAGGAATTTTTTTTAATGCATTTAACCTCTGCACAAATTTTTTTTCAAGACTATTTGTACTTCACTGTTTGCTTGCACCGCAAGACTATTTGTACTTCACTTTTTCCAGGCATTTTCCTTTGCACAAATTTTTTTTTTTTAATTTTCACCCCCCTCCCGGGATTTCTAATGGTCCGCCCCTAAACTTTAGCTTTGATTTTCTCGGTTTAGACAAAGTTTATTTTAAAAATTACTTCGCCAATGAACTCATATAATTATAAGATGAGTCGTTTTTTAAGCTATTTAAAGCACTTGTAGTCGTGTTTTATCACATATAAAACACTCCGCGTGTTTTATATGTGATAAAACACTCCTACGCGTGCTTTAAATAGTACTTATTTACCTTATAAATTAAAATACTTCAGAATATTAAATTACACATTATTTACCTTGATGTATCTCGCCTTCTTTATCCTGTTCAATTCTTGCCCGTTTTCGTTCAGTCATCATGAGTTTCGACTCATTTTCTAGTTGTGATATTTTGCCTTTTGCACACAACAGCGCCACATCTTTCTCCCTGTCTTTAGAACTTCTACGGGCGAACGAATAGTCCGTCTTGCTGCTTTTGTTATTTGTCTGTGCCTTGAAACTGGAGCTAAATTTTGGCGACGGCGTTTCGTCAAAATTCAATCGTCCTATTATAGTGGGCCTTGCAAGCCTTTCATATTCCTCCATTACCTGTACAACCGCCGTACAATCCTCTGGGGTGTCCCACATTTTAAGGAGAATCGTTTTAAAGGTTAAAGAGAGGACGAATTACGGTAAAAAAAACAAGAAGATTTTCAAGCATGTGAAAATTTCAAAACTTCGTACTAGCGGCTAAATCGAGGAATGCACATTTACATGACGCCATCTTGAATTCATTATTAACTCGGGACATTTGTGGTTATCTTATGATAATAATGAATTAGTAAAATGGTTATCCATTAAAGTGCTCCTTTATCCCTTGTCTACATCCGTAGTTTATTTCTATTGTCAGCTGGGAGGTAAACACGCAATAAAAAGTTTTCTTTATTAAATTGACTAGAGATATTTACTATGAAAAGTTGCCGATTTTTATGGCGAATTCAATCGTGTTCTCCGATTTTCCATCTACTGTGTACACAAATTCCTATAGTAGGATAAAGACTCGAGTTTTAGAGTATTAAAGGGCGAATATCTCCGTTCAGTTTTTCAATGAAAAAGGAAAACTAGGGCTGTTTATACAGAATTTCATGCAGAATCGAAGGGTATTTTCGGAATTTCCATCTACCGTGCACACAACTATGTGCTCACTATACGAAAGTAAATTTGCGTGCCAGAGACTTAGGGGCTGATTACATGGACCGGGCCAGCCCGGTTAACCGGGCTGAAAAATGTCACGAAAATCTTCCTTGGGCCGCAAAATGAGTTTTAAATCGGGTTTAGGATGATTTTGCATCTATAATAAACCAATTATTTATCGCAAATTTATTTTACGCGAGTTTTAAAACCACAGTAAGGTCCTAAACAAACGAGTCAGCCCGGTTAACCGGGCCAGCTCGGCACCATATAATCAGCACCTAAGTGTCGATTAATGCATACAAATCACTGTGAAAAATGTCGATACGCGAGATGTTGTTATTTTGTATATTCGGCCGGTTTATTTTCCTTCATATGATATCAAAAGCTAAATTAAATCATTATAATATGATTATTTATGATTTAAAAGCATTAAAAGTGTATTTATTGTAATTTTTGCTGCTGTAAACTAGCTTTATTATGACCATTTTTAATAGACTATTTATAAAGTGGCAATGAGCGAGCGACAATTATCCAATCAAAATCCACTATTTTAATTTTCCCGCGAATACGTTTGCTTTGATTACATCATTCATGGTTGATACTATGACATCATAACTGACACCCAGGTCATTGCGCGGAATTCAAGATGGCGTCGGGCAAATGTGCATTCCTCGATTTAGCCGCATGTACAACCTCGTCCCCAGGGTCTTCCTCGTGGTGGCGCGTGAGCTGAGGAAGACCCTGGTAAAATACGATGAAATCTCCAAGATTCTTGGAGATTTATCGCATGCGCAGTAACGACAACGTTATGTTGCTGACTACAATTAGCGCTGGCGCTTACGATTTTCTTGCTTAAAAATATACATGTTTTGTTGATAGTTTATGGATTTATTCTCAAAGTTTTAACAACTTTTACGAAAAATACTTCAGATATAAGCTGTGAACACACATGTACACAAACCTGTGCAACATTCATCATCATATTGTATCAATTTGTCGGAGTATGGCGCTCAAATTTGTGACATTGTTTTGTTCGCTTTGGCAACCCTCGTATATATCAGATGCTGTTCGGCCTCAAATGCGACTGAATAAACACTGATAGTGTTGCCTGGAATATGAAATGATATTGACTGATTGTTCTGTATATCAAGGTATGTAATGTACATTTATACTGAATTTATTCAA